TGACAAAAACAAGATCCTTTAATAGCCACTTTCAGCTTAGCACAACTGAGGTAAAGTGGTTCTTTTTTAGATTAGTAAAGCAGTCTAAAATGTCATATTTCTTTTCATTAGTGCCACCTTACATAATAATCTGTCATCTTTGAAATCTCTCTGCCCCTTACACTCCCCCATATCCAGTGTGTTACAAAGTCTTGTTGATTCTCTCTCCAATCATTTTGAGACTATCCTTTCTTCCTGGCCTCAGAGCAGCTCTTTGGTTCATCTCTTCGTAGGGTATGCTCTGCCTAATCAGTTGCAACTGTCTTCTTCCTCCATGTCCTTCCATGATCAAATATATGCTTCACACTGCCAGGGTTATCCTCCTAAAGCTAGAAATTGATCATGTTATACCTGTGTTGAACACTTTTTTTTTAAACCACCAGCAGTCATTATTTCAGGAAAGCACTCCTTCATAATTCTATTAATAATCTCACTCAGTTTATGGGTTCCATAGGGTTATCCTCCTAAAGCTAGAAATTGATCATGTTATACCTGTGTTGAACACTTTTTTTTTTAAACCACCAGCAGTCATTATTTCAGGAAAGCACTCCTTCATAATTCTATTAATAATCTCACTCAGTTTATGGGTTCCATGGACTAACCTCATCTCCACTCCACCCCTTCGCCCCATCCTCCACATACCCCAGGGATAGGCACAAGATCCAGGCCATCTGTATCCATCTGCTGTGAACCATGTGACTGGCCCAAGATTAAGAAGTGAATCATGTGAATGGCCCCATACTGGCCAGTCAAAGCTCTTCCTGGAGCCTTCTGCCAAAACTGTCAAGAAAGAGATTCTCTTCTCAGTGATTGCCAGTTCCAAGGATTGCTGAGGCTGGACCTATCTGGATACTCCCATAGAGAATAAATAAAACTAATACCAAGACCAGCAGAGGTCACAGATACTGAGAAGCTAGAAGAAAGAAGGGAGAAAGGCTCTAATGAAAGTAAAGATGTCACCAGAGTCCCCAGATCATGCCATGCTTCTGCCATCTTGGATTTTCCATTTATGTGAGCACGTAAATGCCTTTTTATTTTCTATAAACTACTCTGAACTGACTAGTGTGTGTACAAGAGTTGTAACCCATATAACTCTACTACTTAGAACCTTTAGTAGCTTTTTCCTTCCTACAGGAAAAACAAAAACAAAAACCCAAACTCCTTAGTACAATATTCAAGTTCCTCAACCAAAGAGACATTAGCTTTTCAGCTTTAACTCTCCTGTCCCAGACTTCAAGTACTTCTTTCAAACATTAAAATAATAATAGTCATAGAATCAATACCCTCTGCTACAGCCACCACAGATCCTGATTTCTAACCCCCATGCCATTACTCATAATACTTCTTGAATCTAAATGATTCTTCTACTTTCTTCTTCACCACTCAATCTATATCCAACTCATATTAAGTGCTAATATCATATTTTACATTACAGATTTCATATGCATGCATATCTTGCCCTACCAGGAGGACTCCTTGCAGAAAAGGACCAGCTCCTTCTAAAGTTAAATCTCTAGCACCTGACAATCTGTTCCAGCGAGCAGACACTCTACAAATGTTTGCAGTTCTGGTGAGAAATGAAAGACTGAGGATGGATACCTGTTAGGCTCTTAATTCTTCTTTACATTAGAATTTCTCAAAAACTGTATCACCATATAGTCCAGCAACTGCATTCTTGGGCATTTATCCCAGAGGAACAAATGTATGTTCACACAGAAACCTGTACATGAATATTTATGGCAGCTTTATTCATAATAGCTCCAAATTGGAAACAACCTTGATATCCTTCAATGGGTGAATGGATCAACAAAGTATGGTACATTCTTCCAATCAATGGAATACTACTCAGCAATAAAAAAGAACAAGCTATCGATACATGCAACAACTTGAACAAATCTTGAAGGGATTACGTTGACTCAAAAACAAAGCTAATCCCAAAATGTTATGCATTGTATGATTCCATTCATATAGCAATTTTGAAATGATAAAATTACAGAAATGAAGAACAGATTACTGGTTGCCAGGGGTTGGAGAAGGGGTGCAAGGTGGGGGCTGAGGCAGATGCATGTGGTGACAAAAATATTCGGCATCTTGACTATAAATGTCAATATCCTGGTGTGATACTGAAATATAGTTTCATAAGATGTTATCATTGGAGGAAACTGGGTAAAGCGTACATGAAATCTCTCAGTATTATTTCCTACAACTGCATGTCAATCTGTCTCAAAATAAAAGGTTTTACTTTTAAAAAAACTAACCATATTGTAAATCTGAACTCCCAGACCAATACTCAATGCTAGAGTATCTCACAATAATCAGAGTTTCAAACAACAGCCCTCACTATAACTAATACAATATGGTTTTGTAAAACAATACGGTTTTGTCCGTAAGAGGTAAGTACCTCTTTTAAAAAAAGAGATAGAGAAGAGACTCATTCTGTCCAACATGAGAGATATTTCTTGACATATGAAAGCTATTTTTAGAAACTGAGATGGCAAAAGAAATTACAAATAAAACAAGAGAACTGTTTCTGCCCAGAAAACTGAGCTGGGACCCCAAGTGATAGTCCATCTCTACAAGTGCACAGCTGGGGCTTCTATGGGGATGAATAACAGCCACTGACCTGTGAAAGCTGATCTGATTGCCATTTAAATCCATGTGACTCATTGAGGCTGGCTGCATTTATATTTGAAAATACAGGATATCTGCAGCCTAAGCAACTTTGGCTCATGGACTCATGGATTTCTGATTCAAATACCGACAATTTGGAGACAGTGATTTTATATTTTTATCAGCCAGTGTATATTTGAAAATACAGGATATCTGCAGCCTAAGCAACTTTGGCTCATGGACTCATGGATTTTTGATTCAAATACCGACAATTTGGAGACAGTGATTTTATATTTTTATCAGACAGTAGGAAAGGAAGTTAAGCTGCTTAAATAACAGAGACTACGTTGAAATCTAGAAGCAAAGAGGATCGGAAGATTTATTTGCTTATATACATTGTATCTGGGAGGTCCACAACACCTTCTCAGCAATAGGAACATGAGTTCTGAGGTCCTCTGCAGTCTAGAATGATGCCCTTCCTTGGGCACTAAATGCCCAATAAATACCACTAAATACCTGCCCCAAAAGAGGACAGAGGGAGTCTGGAGCTATTGAAGACAGAGTAGGGTGTGGTGGTCACAAGAGTGACTGAGTGCCACTTGGACTAGTAATGCCAAGTCTACAAACAGAGAGGGTGTGGTGCCTCGGACTTGGTCATTATTTATTTTGTTCATTCCCACTCCGAAGCTTTCACAGTAATGCCCACAGCAGCCATGACAACTGGCAAATAGTGCAGCTGATTTCTGGCTGTTAGCTCATGGACACCCCATTCCTTCTCCAGAGGCTGTCCCTACTCATGGACCCGGTGACTTTTCAGAGTGTCCCCCTCCCCCTAGGTACCTGCCTAGCAGCGCCACTGCTGTACTTACCCATCAAGACACTCAGCAACTTCTGCACTCTGGAGTTGACCCCCACGATTCGGTAGAGCCCTTGCTCATTGATCCCTGAGAAAAGAAATAGTGATGATTTAATTAGAGGCACGACAGAACACAAGTCAGGCCAACCCAGCCAAATGCACTTTTTTATCATTTTCTCAGTCCTCCTAAAAGCTGCTCTAATTAAAGTCCCCTGTCACTCAGCTCAACTCTTAGCCGAGGAGTGGGATTTGGTGCAGCTGTCTAGGATTGCACGGATGTGCTGCACACTTCAGCTTGCGTGTTAGTTCAGTCATCAGCGGGGGAAGAAACTTTCCTCTTCTCTTGCCAAAGGCAGCATCTGAAGCGTTTTAAAAGATGTAAAATACATACTTTCAAATATGTCATATTTAACCAATTTTCTAATTTAAAAAGCCAAAAATGGCACAATAAAAAAAATCATACAACTGAAAAGGACACGTTACGATCTATTTTTACATGAAGAATTAAAACACTGAGGTGTAGGCAATTTTTAATTTTAGGAAACATTAGCCAAGACTGAGAAATTAGAAAACCCATTCATTTGTAATATGAAATATTCTTTATGAAGAAAAAGATGAACACCTTCATTCAACACAAGGAACTGTGCAATCAGACTAGAAGGGGTTTAATTTTGAACACCTAGACAAAGACCAAAAATTAACCCACTACAGTACTTCTGTTCATTTACATGTATGGATCAGATCATCACTGTACCATTTACAAAAGGGAATTTAGACCAAGTGATTTGAAATGATTTTTCTCCCGTTAGTCCTAGGCCCATCATATCTGACAGCTCTCAAATAACTGGTCTCTTGCTTCCTATCTTACTCCTCTGATGTCTAGTATCTAACCAGCAAAGTGAACTTCTTAAAGTCTAAATCAGTTCACATCGCCTCTGTTCTTAAAACCTTCCAATGGCTTTCCATTGCATTTAGACCATACTTAAAACTCCAAGGGAGGCCTACAAAGCCTATACACTGGCCCACCTCTGACCACATCAACCACCACCTGCACTCTGCTCCAGCCATACTGGCTTTTCTGTTACTCTAACATACCAAGCCTTTGCTCCAGCTATCTCCTCTACCTGGACCACTCTTCTCCCAGATCTTTTCACCGTTCAGGTCTCACCTTAAATGTAACTTCTTTGATCTAATGCATCCTACAACCAAAACCAAAACAGAGTAAGTCATTCCCTTACTCCGTTTTCTTTTCTTTATAGCAATCAACAATATTGAAATTACCTTTATTTGATTTCTTTTTGTCTTTCTCCACACAACTAGAAAGTAAACTCTAAGAACAGTGATTATGTCTCGTTCACCATTATACCACCAGCCCCTAGATCAGTTATGTTACAGATAATAAGCAAAGCACTGAGTTATACTCCATCAAGGCCCACTATAAAAGACTTGGGGGCCAAAACACAATTTTCTGGAAGAAATTCAGGAAAGGGCTGAAGGCTACAGTGTCTCCAACAAACCTAGATAGGAGTGGAACTAATGAATAAAGGGGACTGGTCTGGAATAATAGGATTTTACAGCTTTCAGCTGTAAAACCATGGACATTATTCTGCACAGTTCATGGGCTAGGAGCCCTTGGTCAAAAACTAAGGGATGTTTCCCAAGTTACTCAGTGGCAGAACCTTTATTGAGTCATGTGTCAGCTGGAAGGGCATCTCTACTTCTTTTATACCTGTGCTTTCCTGGGACTTCACACAATTCTGCCTCCCACTGGACAATTACTGATGAATCCCAGAGAGTATGGGATGTCTGTTCATCTCTGGTCACCACAAACATGTTTGTACAAATATGCACTGTGGTAGGGAAACATCCATTTCTTTCAAGTCTTTATGCTAAAATAGCATTTAACTCACACTGTCCTTATTCTTTGTGTTAAACTTAAAAAGTTTATTTCAAAATAAACTTTTGAAAGTATCTTTTAAGAACTTTCTTAGAAGTTAAAACATCATTTTCATCCTCACTTTAGAGTGAGGAGGACACAAGGAGCCAGAGGCTAAGAGACCTAACCAACTTGTGAGCCTCTTCTACTTATTGCATATATTTTCTAGTTTTACATCAAAAAGTTGTCCTCCTGGGGCTGGCCCCTGGCTCACTGGGTGAGCATGGTGCTGACAACACCAAGTCAAGGGTTAGGATCACCTTACCGATCATCTTTAAAAAAAAAAAAAAGTTGTCCTCCTGAGCTACTGGTTTGCATTTATCATAGACTCTGTGAGCAGGTTTAAATGATTAGGTTTCCCTCTTGGTTTTGGCTGCTGAAAACTGAGGGACAAACAGGTGGCCCACTTCAGGCAAGTAGAAGAACTTCATAGGGAGAAAGAAGATTTTTGTTCTGGACTCACTTTTGGCTCCATTTTTATGCCCTTACCTTTGTTAACCCTGTACCTCTTATTTCTCATTATTTTCTTTTAAAATGAAAAACAAAACTCGTGTTGAAAAAGTACCTTAGGATTATAAACTTCAAAAAAATTGAGAAACTACAGTTAAGGCAAATAGATAAATCAAATGAAGATAGCAAAACTCAGCAGGGAGAGCCACTGATACAGCACAATACCATGTAACACGAGCTCCTCTCCCAGCCACTCCCAGAGTGGGTTCATTCTGGGCAGCTGTTTTTTTAACTTATATTTTTCACTTAATGTATATATACACTTAAGAAAATGTTAAATGTAAAAAAAAAAAAAAGTATTTCCACTGCATTTTTAGTAACCTGTAGTTTTTTACTGCATAAGTAAACCACTGATGATTTAACCAATTTTTGAGATGTCTGGCCAGTTTCTGATTTGGCACCTTAACAACACCATTGTGTAAACATCCTTATGGCTCAACCTGGCCTACATCCTTATTTCTTCAAAATCAATTCCCAGAAATCTTTCTAGTTTATATTCTCTGAATATATTTTACATATCTTTACAAGTTGCCTCCATTTTGTTGAGGGGAGGTACATGGAAATAAGGAAACAGGGTTGGCCTGTTAGCTCAGTTGGTTAGAGCACAGTGTCAATAATAAGGAATTCATAATGGAAGGAAATGCTTAACATCAGGGTTTGGTCATGGGTTCGGATCCTCATACCAGCCAGCTGCCAGAAAAAAAAGAGAGAGGGAAAAGAAAGCAGCAAACATTTAAAACATGTTTCCATACATTAAAATAACTACTTTGGAAAGAATATCTTTCGATGGGATACAGGGAATAGAAGCTCATGAGGCTAGCTTTGTTTTCTCCCTCCTCATCTACTCGATGCTTCACAGCCTTTATAAGGAAGTTTATATTTCTCACCTTGTAGGAGTTATGAACCCTGCTTTAAAAGATAGAATTTCTTTCAAACAAATAAAATGGGCTGGTATGTTTAAAGGCTGAAGAATAAACAAATAAGATTCACATCTCTGACAATGGTTCAAATCAAATCCGGTGAACATGGTGCATGGTTTTTCTCAGAGGTACAATAGAACAGTGCACTCAAAGCTCCAAACTACAGAAAGTAAGGAATCTCCTTTGCAGCAGTCTCTGAGGAGGGGATGGAGACTATAGGATGAACCAGCTTCCTTGATCTCCACGTCCTGCTCCTGGGAAAGGACCAGTGTGCAACAGGGGCCTGACCCCTTCTCTCTGCCTGGATGGTCCCCAGGGACTAGCTCCCCAGAACAGGGGTTCTTAACCTGGGGTCCACAGCACCCAAGAGGTGAACTGGAGAGAATTCGGGATGCCTATGAACTTAGATAGGAAAACAAATACATCTTTATTTTCACTAATTTATAACTGACATTAAGCATTTCCTCCCATTATGAATACAGGCAACAAATAAATACATCTTTATTTTCACTAATTTATAACTGACATTAAGCATTTCCTCCCATTATGAATATAGGTAACAAATAACAATAGCAATTAGTAGTACCTGAGACCTGGTAAGAAATCACAGACATTTTCATAACACATTAAAATTGTTACAGACATCTTAAAATATCACTACTTCCAAATTATACCAGTTATCAGACCCATCACTATAACTTATTAAGTATTAACAAAGAAACACATGTATTACTATATCACAACTATGTTTTTTAATATTTCGAAAATTGAGTTTCAGTAACTGGTTTCTATAATCCTATGTATTTTACATATATTCATTTAAAACATTCTTCTGACCAGCCAAAGAAATTGATGACACAAAATTATTTGAGAACCCCTGCTTCAGACCTGCACTTGTGGAAACACACCAACAATGGCACTCGGGGAGTTAATGAGTCACTTAAAATCAGGAAACAGCAGGTAACAGGTTGGCCACCTCACCAGATGCATGACCTTCCATGAGAACAATGCCATCTGTTAAACTGCTTTACCTCTGGTTTCCACAGCATGGATGCATTTCCTGATTATGCTGAAGCCAATGCTGTCCAACTGTGCAGCTGAAAGAGCAAGAGAAGGGCAGTCAGGTTGCTAGCCATGCAAATCGATCTCAGGATAAGGCTTGACTGACTCAGAAGGAATCAATTGCATGGTGTGGCCATGTATCCTTTTAATTTTTCCCAATAAAGGTACAAGAATGACAAAATAATAATAGTAATAATAAAAGTTGGCATCAATTGAGAACTTACCATATACTAAGCATGATTCTAAGTGCTTTGCAAGTATTATCTTATTTAGTTCTCATAGTAACCTCAAGTTATAGAAACCTGCAAGGTTATCTTCAATTTATAACTGAAGAAACTGCAGCATACAATGATAGGCACATTTAAATTGCTTTGCTATTAACAAGAGCTGCAGGACTAACTGCTTGCCGTCTCCTTCAAAAAGCACAAATTGGGCCGGTCCGGTGGCGCACTCGGTAGAGTGCGGCGCTTGGGAGTGTGGCGGCGCTCCTGCCAAGGGTTCGGATCCCATATAGAGACCGGTCCGCTCACTGGTTGAGCGCGGGGCGCGACACCGAGGGTTGCAATCCCATTACCGGTCACGAAAAAAGACAAAAAGGAAAAAAAAAAAAAAGCACAAATTAAGTGCTCTATAAATGTTGGGTAAGTGCTATATATAAACTATCTCATTTGATCCTAGCAAGTCCTCCAGGTTAATCCTATCATTAGCTGCATATTACAGATGAAGAAACTGAGACTTGATGAAACTAAATATCTTGACCAAAGTACCAGAACTAACACATGAAGACTTGCTCCAGAGCCCACGCCACCAAGCTGCCTTAAATGTGTCCCTGAGTTAAAGTATAATTCTGCCTGGGTGACTAGAAAAATGGAAAAAAGGAAAAAAATAAAAATGACCCAGAGGAAACGAAAACAGCCTAGAACAAAGAAGATATGTGAGGAACCACTAAGGCAGCAGAGCCATCCCTCTATGTGGTCAATCAGCAAGTGGTGATGGAGTTCTCCATCTGCTTCAAAACCCACTACTGTCACTAAGAAAATAAATTATCAACAGCAGCAACTTTTTCCACAGCAGAGAACCAGTTTCTAACCTGGCAACAGGGCTGGAAATCCATCAAAATCCATCCTGACACTTTGATTACCCAGTGACAAGATGTGTGCAGTACTCTTTAAGAATGGGCACATCTTTGACCTGCTTGGGACAAGACATTCTACAACCAGAGTGGAGAAGGAAGTGGTAGAAAATAGGAAGGTGAGTATTTATGAATGATGTATGATCATCCCAGGGCAAGAAATAAACCTGTAATATATAAAAACTAAGCAAAACCTGAACTCATCTTGGATCTAATCCAAATGGAATCTTTTTCCAATTCTTAGCATAAATGGGCAAACCTAGATCCAACAAGGATGAAAAAAAGAAAAAAAAATTCAAAAAAATCACTAAGAATACTCAAAATCAAACTAAAAAGAAAAGCTAATTTCCCAAAACTTCTCTACTGAAAGTGAAACAGCTCCTGTAATTACATGCATTCTTATTGCTTAGTGGTACTTATAAACACACAGCCTCTAGGATAGTAAGTAAAGTACTAGAAAAGCAGCAGAAAAACAATGTTTTTCTCCCTGGAGATTACCTGCTATACAAACCATTTTTCTTGTTCCCTTAGAACGGGTAGGAGCCTACTAACTCAATCTCTCATTTTTGAACCAAGTATCTACTCTGCAAATTGTGATATCTAAAGGTTTCTGACTGGAAGCTACAAGTCAAATCAAAATAATTTATCAAAATAATTCGTCCAAGTGAAACTCAATTAACTCATGCAATAGACGTTTTTCAAATTTAATAACAACCTGTAATACACAGACCAAATACCTGTTGAAATTTAGGAGAGGATTTAATAAAAACTAAAACTTTATTGAGATATAATTCACATACCATAAAGTTCACTTATTTTAAATGTGCAATTCAGGAGTTCCTAGTATATTTACAAAGCTGTGCATTAATCATCACTAATTCCAGGATATTTTTGTTACCCATCCCCCCCCCCCGCCAAAATTTCATACACACGAGCAGTCATTCTGTTTCCTTCCCCCGCCCTGGCCACCACTAGTCTACTTTCCTTCTCTATGGATTTATTTACAAAGCTGTGCATTAATCATCACTAATTCCAGGATATTTTTGTTACCCCTCCCCCCCCCCCGCCAAAATTTCATACACACGAGCAGTCATTCTGTTTCCTTCCCCAGCCCTGGCAACCACTAGTCTACTTTCCTTCTCTATGGATTCTCCTATTCTGAACACTTACCATGAATGAAATCATACAATATGTGGTATTTTGTGCCTAGCTCCTTTCACTTTATATAATATTTTCAAGGTCCATCTAATGTTGCAGCATCAGTACTTCATTCCTTTTTATGGCTAAATAATATTCCAGTGTCCAGATATACCACATTTTGTTTACCCTTTCATCAGTTGATAGACATTTAGGCTGTTTTCACTTTTTGGCTATTATGAATAATGCTGCTACGAACATCTGTATACAAATCTTTGTGTGGACATATATTTTCATGTCCACCCATGAAATTTAACTTTTTGAGAAACTACCAAGCTGTTTTCCAAAGAAGCTGCACCAGTTTACATTCCCACCAGCCATGCATTCCAACTTCTCCACATCCTTGCCAACATTTGTTATTGTCTTTTTTTTATTATAGCCATCCTAGTGGGTGTCAAATGGTACCTCACTGTGGTTTTGATTTGTACCTAATGACTAACAATGTTGGGCATCTTCTCATATGCAGGGGAAGGATTTTCATTCCTTTATACAGTAGTCAGTAGCCATCTGACAAATGGGGAATTATTTTTTTGAACTTATGGAGGTTTCCAAAACGTTTATAACTGTGATGCAAGTCAGAATAGTCAGTTGAAGGCATTTTGTTCTTCTTTCGAAGGTGCCTAAGAGAATCTTTTCATAGGGATGATAGTCAAAGAAGCTTGGGAAAGAAAGAACCATCATTTTGCACAGCACTCTAGGGAGCTGCTGAGACTGATTTCAAACTTGGATATCTTGAGAGTAGGTTTGTGAACATTGCCTTATTTTAGGCACTGATGAACTTCTATCCTGGACAAAGACTATTTTCTTGCTCCATGAACATCAATAAAAGTTTTGTAAACTGGAAAGAGCCTGGCAATGGACAGTGATGACCCCAGTTATCAGAAGATACATGCGCATAAAGTCATCAGCCCAACCAGTGGAAGACATAAAGACAGAGTTGGTCATAACCCTGTAGAGGCAAATCAGTCTTTGCACCTTTCTTTTGGCACTGTAGGAAGTGGGATCCTTTTCTAAGGAAGTAATATTTAATAGAAAGACTAAAATGGAAACTTCCAAATATATTCAGAAAAAATTAAAATTTTACCAACCTACATTAACAACAATTTTGGAAAACGACAAAGCAAAACCCCACACTCAATCTCTGAGTAAATTGTTCATCCTTTGGTTTTCCCAACTTTAGAGGTTCTCCAATTTGTTTTAAACCAGCAAATCTCTTTTCTTGAAATAAGTTTTACACAGATGTTATACATAAAAGCCTTATATGTTACACATGTAATGGAATATTTATCAATATATCTTAGTTATCTAAGTTCAAATGCATATAGCATTTACATATTGTAAAGTTGAACATTAAGAGCTCAAGGTAACTCTGTTAGTCTCTACTCATTCATGTTGCATATTGATGATAATTACTTACATATTTGTAAACAGATAAAACTGTGTTAAGAAATGGAGTTTCCCCAAAAAGGAACTCATGAAACATAGTTTCACAACCATTGCTCTGACTCTAACTCTGTAAACTAGAACTGGTGTAAGTTATTACATTGCCTAGAGCCCCAGGACATCCCCATCACTTTTCTTTTGTACGTGCATGCACGCACATGCACACACGGTTTGACTTTGCTTATCAACTGAGTTTCCTGCTGATGTCATGATTAGGTTACTAATAATTAGCAACTGCTGTCTGATTTAACATGGACGGAGTACCACTAATGTGACAGGGACTACAGTTCACACATAACCAGATCATTAGTCCTGATCTCTCCCAGTGGGTACATAATCTGTGTTAACTGAGATCTCCTAGTCTGAAAAGCAAATTCTCACTAAAAGGTTTAGAATACTATCCCCACCAAGTAGAGTCTGCGAATGACAGCAAGTCTGAGTGGCCCGCCAGATGGAAGCGGCTGTCCTTAATCCCCTCAAGCAGGTGATTCAGCTCTTTCACTGAGCCAAAGCTCAGAAAAGGTCAGGGATTTATTTGCGATTTCTGTATCCTTATAATCTCCAGAAATAATCTCTCATTAAATATCTACCAGGCTTGAATTATTCCCTTAATTTGACTTGCAATGAGTTGCTGCAGGACCAGTGGCTGCCAGGCCCGATATCTACTGTTTTGCAGTGAAGGCTTGGATGGGCTTATCTTCCCGCACCAGCCTCAGGTTCAGCTCTGCCCAGGTCTACACACAGAGTAGCCCAAACTTATGTCTTACAGTGGCTGCCAGGCCCGATATCTACTGTTTTGCAGTGAAGGCTTGGATGGGCTTATCTTCCCACCCCAGCCTCAGGTTCAGCTCTGCCCAGGTCTACACAGAGTAGCCCAAACTTATGTCTTACGATGAATGTGGGCAGAGTTTGCACCAAATACCCAGGCTGACTTCCCAAGTTAAAAATGTGCCGTCCTCTTAACTTTCATTTCAACTTCTGAAGCCTTGTTTCTTTCTTTCCTTTGAGAGGAAGGAAAGGGCCAGTGTTGCACAAATCCATTTTCTCCAAGTTCTGTGGAGAACATGAGAACACAGGAGAGGTGAGTTCATGCTCAGTCAACTTGGAGAGTCTCAGGGCAAACCACAGAAGTGGGGAGAGGATGCCTGACAGGCCGTTTGGGCTTGGACTATCATGCCTAGGACACAAACTCTGGAAGGAGGGGGGCAGGGTCAGTCTAGAGACTGTTTTCTGCAAAGAACTTAAAAGAACAACACACTATAC